AGACATGTTCTTATGAGGATCAGTTGCAAAGTTGGCATATTACCAAATGATAAATTTTTCCCTAGAAATGGACAGATATCTTTTTAATTAATTTCAACTAAATCCAAGAAAGTAATCCATGTTTAGCAAAACGTGAATTTATATTGATTTTTTCAATGTAAGGATTAAAAAGATATGCCTAGTAACTCTGATATTGCTCAGTATGAAAATTTCCTGCCTTTAAAAAAAACAGATTTTAAATGTATTAATCCATATGTACATAGTTTTCACCAATCTGTTAATTTACAGTGTCAAGACTAACATTTTTTTTTTCCTATTTCATAGGGCTGAGTGGAGTACCATCTGTTACTGGAAATCCTTATACTTAAAATTAGCTAAATAGTCCAAGTATAGAATCCTGGTTTTCATTTCTTTCTTGTGTAAACCCAACATCTGCCGCATCAAGAAGATAGGCAGCCACAGTGTTGTCGTAAGTAAGTTATTAAATATCAATGACGATATGCATTGTTTGGCACCACAATCACATATGAGTTTTTTCCTCTTAGTAACTATGGTCAGAAAAATAAACAATCTGTGGCATATTTGATGTCCAAACCCAGATGTGGCATTCCATCGGCTGTGGAGTGTATCTAATCACTCATTTATCAAAGCCTATAAAGCTAGAGGCCGCAGTTAGCCTAATCAGAAGTGTCTTCATTTATAATCGGACAAATTGAAGAAACAGGTATGCAAAATTAGACAAACAGAGTTTGGGGAATTAATCTCACATTATGATAATTTTAAAGAGATAAAGTTTGAAAAATCAAGTCCAATTATATAGTGATCCTTTAAAACAACCAACAAATTCCCGGTGTCCTTTAATATGTGTTTATGGTAAATCCCTCCTGAAACATTCACCTGCCGAGGCACTCAGTGTGAGCGTGATGTTTGGTGAAGAGCAGGTGTTCAGCACAGAATCACTTTTGAGAAAATATGTTCCGTGTCACACGAGTGACATTGCTAAAGCATCTTACACAGGACCTCATGGTTGTCCGCATGTGCTTCCTCTGAGTAGCCATTTCACTGACAATTCCAAGGCAAGAATTCATTTCCACTGTCACATCCAGTATTCTGTGTGGTGTTTATAACCTTCTTCTGTCACTAAACCTACACTGTAGCCACACTCCACCCTGGGGTAAAGACCAACAAATGTTAGAAGAATGCTGTGAAAATTGTGTGATCATTAATTGATTGAATGTTATAAAGTATAAAGTGTGCAGATTAGTGAATTGGTGCCACAAGAATGTATGTTTCAAGTATTATTTAATAGTGTGTTTTCCCTAGCCTTCTCCTATCCAACATTTGTACAAATGGCTGATGCTAAGAAAAGAAACTTGTGAGTAGGAGAAACAGCAGACATTTTTGGAGACAGACTCAAAATCTAATGTAAGAAGATTATTAATTGCCTAACCAATATCTACCTTCCTTTTTGTCGGAGTAACACTGAGGTCATTGTATATTTTGACACCTTACTTTAAAAGATTTAGGAATTTGTTAAATGGATTTCATTCATTAGATTTTGGAATTCAGATTTTGTTTCATGAGGGCTGCATTCTGGTGTGAGTGTGTGTGTGTGTGTGTGTGTGTGTCTGTGTGCGCGCGTGTGCATTTAATAACATCAGAGGAAGCTAGATTAACTACTTGTGTAATTCTTTGTATTTCTCCTTAATGACTGAATCAAAATTCAAGAACTAACTTTGGCAGAATCAATATGTTAAATTGAATTAAAGTCCCTGCCGCTATGAGCCTAAGCACTCTCTGGATTAATGTCAGTTTCCCAGACGAAAGAAGAAAACAGCCCGGCTGGTGTGGCCCTATGAACCAGGTCAAGATCACCCATGAGCCAGGAGGTCTTGGTTCAATCCCCAGTCAGGGCACATGCTGAGGTTGCATGCTCAGGGGACATGAATGAGGCAGCCGATCAATGATTCTCTCTTATCATTGATGTT